GCTTGTGTAGAAATAATTATCAAGTGAAAAGTGGAATGATGCATCTTGGTAAGCGTAAAGCTTATTTGACTTGCAATCTAGGCACTAGAAGATGTCATACATCTAATATTGAATGTTGTTACTTGACAAAATTAAATATCCAATGGGTTCAAAATCTAAAGCATATACAAGTTTTTGGAAAACTTGTTTATCATCCTCATAAGGATTAAATCGATTCAAAATGCATGAAGCATATACAAATATTGTTATGCAAGTTGATAACTAGAATTGAACCTCTTGGCAATATATTATTTGCTTAAAGAAGTTGAAGTAAGGAACTTGCAGAAATCTTTGACCTTGAAGGGAAGATTTATAAAAGCAGATAGAAGAAAACATATTTCGTCAAGGTTTTTTTACACTCATAAGCTCCCAAGAATGGTGATATCAACATGCAAGAGGTCTGTTCAAGTAATATTATTGTTGATTTATTCACCAAGTCTCTACCAACTACAACTTTCAAAAGGATGGTGCACAAGCTTGGAAGACGAAGATTCTAGTCTCTGAATTGATGTTGTCATTAGGGGGAGTTAATACGTGATGTACTCTTTTTTCCTCACAAGGTTTTGTCCACTGGGTTTTCCTTGTAAGGTTTTTAATGAGGCATCCATAATGTGTATTATTAGATATGTGTACTCTTTTTCCTTCACTAGATCTTTTTTCCCACTTGGTTTTATCTAGTAAGGTTTTAACGAGGCACATAATCTATCGACATTCAAGGGGGAGTGTTATAAACATATTTGTGTTATAGTGAATGTCTAATTATGTGGAGTCCTAGTAGGATATGGTTAGGAATCCTACTTGGGGACCAAGTAAGGTTTTCCCTATAAATAAAGGGTTTTCCTTCATTATAAATAAGATTGGTGAAAGATCTATGAATCATGAATATTCTTCAAGAGGAATACGAAGTCATTTCTCTTCTCCCTACTTTCTTCTTCTTCTAATTTCATATAGTTTCATAACAAATGTAATTTTTTACTTAATTTTATTTTAAAGATTTTTTTTTAAAAAAAAAAATTACTTATTAAATTTGCAAGTTAAGTCTAATTAAGTTTTCAAATCTTTTGAAGTTTATAAGTTATTACTTATTATTTATTTATATGTTATAATTTACAAGTTATATTTTTAACTAGTAACTTAAATAAATTAAATTTGTAATTTTAAACAATTAAATAAAAATAAGGATAAAACAATTACACGAATTAAAAATATCAATTTAATTTATTTAAATTTGTATTACAAATTACAATTTCAATTTACAACGTAACTACTAGTAGAGTGCATATTTACGCAACCATCTTCTAGGAAGGGTTCTGTTTCAACTAACTCTCGAATGTAATACTAATAAGGGGTAGTTGGTTACTCGAATAGTATTTTTATTTAATATAAAATATAAATTATAATTTTTATATATATAATATAAATTAATTAATAAGTATTAATTAGTCGAAACTGGACCGAAACGGAAAAAATCAGGATAAACCCGTATAGGTTCCGTGTCTTTTGTGTCGGTTCAAAATGTCTCGTAGGCAATCGAATCGGAACGAAGCGAAACGATATCGATATATCCCGTTCCGTTGCTCGGCATTAAACTAACTAAAATAAGGTCCTAATCATAGTTTAGATAATTAATTCCTTCTTCTTAAACAACTCTTTTCATCCTTTTTGATAAATTTTTAATTTATACTACAACATATTTTTCCTATATATATCTTTCTTTTTTTAATTATTATTTTTCCTATATCAACACAGAACATCTTTTTTTAAAAAAAAAAAAAGAAAAAACTTTTCTCTTTCCCATTTGAAAATATTAACTAAAAATAACAAAAATTGAAAGATCGACGGGAAGTTAATAGTTTAAAAAATAATAATTGGAAGATAGATACAATAATTATAGAAATGATAATATATAGTTGTTATTGTGTGATTACTAAAAGATTTGGAAGCAAAATTAATATATGAAATATTAATGATTTAAATCATTCATAGTTAGAGTCTTATTTTAATCAATTAAATCTTATTAATTTTGACTTATGTCATGGTAAGTTATTGTAGCTTTTATTTATAGTCAGTTGACTATAATTATTAGAGCAAAAAAAGGTAAAAAAATAAATAAGTAGCTTAAAGGAAGTGGCAAAACTTGGTAAGAAAATCTACTTAATATTTTTCCTATATCAACACTAAAATACTTTTCAATATATTTTTTTAACTTTTCTCTTTCCCATTTCAAAATATAAACTTCAAAAAAAAAAACTGAAAGATCAATGGTAAGTTATAAATTTTTTAAAAAATATAATTAGAAGATAGATATAATAATTGTGGGAAAGATAACATATAGTTATTATTATATAATTATTAAAAAATTGAAATCAAAATTAATATATGAGATATTAATTATTTAAATCATAAACATAGTCAGAGTCTTACTTTAATCAATTGAATCTTACTAATTTAAGTTTAACTTATGTCATGGTAAGTTATTGTAGCTTATATTTTTAGTCAGTTGACTATAGTTATTAGAACAAAAAAGGTAAAGAAATAATTAAATTGCTTTAATTTTAACTTATGTCATGGTAAGTTATTGTAGCTTTAATTTATAGTCAGTTGACTATAATTATTAGAGCAAAAAAGGCAAAAAGATAATTAAGTCGCTTAAAGAAAGTACCAAAACTTGGTAAGCAAATGTAAGTAAATTTTTGTGCAAATATATCAAAAAGGAAAAAAAATTAATAAGTTACTTAAAGGAAGTGGCAAAACTTGATAAGCAAATGTAAGTAGATTTTTTATGGAAAATTACTAAATAAATAGGTATATATATATATACTAAAAAAGGAAAAAAAACAAGTTACTTAAAGGAAGTGACAAAACTTAGTAACCAAGTATAGCAAAAAAGGGGAAAAAAAGAAAGTTATTTAAAGAAAGTGCCAAAACTTGGTTAGAAAATCTAAGTGCTGTTGAACTGATTATATTGAAGTAAATTGGAGTGTTCTCATTAATTATATTTTCTTTATAAATAGTATGTTTAACAAACAAAAAAGAACACACATCTAAAACACCAACAATCAATTTTTATGATTTAACTAAATTGAACTTTTTAAAACTTTGATGATTTCTTCTTTTGGAGGGAGATCATCAATGGAGGTAGAAAATGAGTGTTATGACAATGAATTTTTAGAAAAAATAAGCATTTTGGTGGTGGATGATGATACTAGTTCCCTTCTCATTACTTCTGAGTTACTCAAGAAGGAAAATTTCAAAGGTACTCAATTGACTTCCCTTTTTCATTTTCCTAATTTTGTGAGTGTTACTTGATAAAGTATGGTCTATTTTTGCAAGTCAAAATTGACTTCTACTGAATTAATTAAAGGGCTTTTTGAATTTGATTTTCAATCATCTTGGGTTTATCTTACATGGTATAAAAATTACCCAAAAAAATGTTAAATTTTTGAATTTTAGACTTGGTAATTGTGAATCGTGATAAATTAAGTGTTTCGATAGACAGAAATATAAGGAGACGAGATATTTTGTGCATCATGAGATGAGACATAAGGTAAAAATATTTTACATGTCACGGAGTAAGATGTACGCGTCAAGACATGTGTGGGAGCCACGTGAGGAAAAGGGAGGTTCGATGCACATGAAATTACGTATACTACTAAGTAAACAGGATTTAGCGATGGATACATTCTATAGCTAAACAACAAAAATCGCCGCTCAGTTCCGGTGGACGGGGGAAGAAGAGGAATCAAAATCAGAATCGGAATCTTGTTCTGAGAAAGGGTATGTTGCAGGGGAATCTGGCCCAGTTAATTAATCGGGTTTTAGAGAACACGGCCCAAGCCGATCCTATTTAGCGACAAATTTTAGTTAACTATCGACGAAGTTCATAGCTAATTTCAATGTTTTTTAATTGTATGCTCTATAACTGACAAGAAAATTTTACATTTTTTTTTTGTCAATTTCCTAACTCTGTTGCTGCTGATCGTGAATACTTATTTTTACCTTTAATATATAGAATGAGTTCTTAAAACGGATTTAGAATTTATTAAATGCATTTATACGGACAAAAAATGTGCCAGATTAAAAACAAAATGTACACAAGAAATTTAACAATCTAAGAACAATTTATAATAAATCAATTCGTCAAACCTATAAAACAACACATCTTATATATATCCTTCATTGATCATAAACTTAATCAAAAGCCGATACATTATAATAATGTAAGTAAAGTACAATCATGCTTAAAAACATAATCATTATGATAATCACAATCTACCTAAATCTTTAATTAGCATATGTAAATATTGTTCACTTCATCTAATTTCTTCATTTCCTCAAATGATTTTGGAATCTTTTTCAATATATATGGGTATGAAATATCAATCATTCTATCTTTTTCGAGTAATCTTTGCTTATTTGAAATAATTAATTGATTGGTTTTTAATTTAGTTGTGACAGTGAAGAACGCAAATGAAGCTCTGAGTACCCTTCAAATCAATGAAAACTCATTTGATCTGGTGATCATAGAGGTGCGCGTGCCCGTAATGAACGGGCTTCAACTTCAACAACAAATAACTAATGGGTTTAATATTCCCGTTGTTCGTGAGTTTCTAATTCTTTATATTCTTAAAAAACATAAAATATTTTGGGGGAATTTTTTTCCCATGATATTTCCAACAACTTAAATTTTTTATATTGTTTGAATATGAGCAGTTATATCAGACGATAAATCAGAGTGTGGAATTATACAAGGATTTGAGAGTGGTGCTGTTTTTTTAATGGTGAAGCCCATATCACAAAATGATGTACATGAGTTATGGCAATATGCAATCATGCAAAGGAAGAAGAAGAAGAATAGAGGCAAACAAGGTATTGTTCAAGAAAATACTAATGAAGAAATTGTTGCTGAAAATTTAATAACACCACCAAAGAAGACTAGGCTTGTTTGGACAGAGTACCTTCACAACAAATTCTTGGAAGCCATTACAATACTTGGTTTGAAGAGTAAGCCTTTTCAATAAATATATATATATATATGTTACTCGAGTTTATGTTTTATATATAATATAATCATTCAACAACGTCTCTATACAACAAAAATATATTATCAAGTCATTCAACAGTTATCTATATTTTGTTTCGCAGGAGCTCATCCGAAGAGAATTTTAGAACTTATGAACATCCCTGAATTGACTAGAGAAAATGTGGCCAGTCACTTGCAGGTTCACTACTTTTAATTAACTCAATTATGATTTATATATATATATATATATATATATATATAAACGTAAATATGAAGAAACGGTTTAGATATTTGATCCAATTAATTATTTCTTGATCTTTTTCATCTTCTGTTTAGAGTTGTGAAGATGCATGTTTTTCACCATAATAGAAAACATAAATAAACTTGATTTTTATTTATCATCAAAATGTATTTATTTTTTGAAAAAAACCCATAAAATTTGGAATTTGTAGTTTTACCACATCAAGGTCATCACTAATTTGAAAAGTTACATGAATCTTGTATAAAATTTCACTTAATGCATTCAGTTGCATTATTATTAAAATTAAGTTATTGAATTTGTGCTTGTAAATTTTGCAGAAATATCGTCTTTACTTGAAAAAAGTCACTGCTCCAATTGATACTAGTCGAAAGCCGATATCTAAATCAAGGATTGGTAATGCAAGGAAAGCAATTCAGCTCGCTGCAACCTCAACTCAACAACTTATGACAGAAAATTCAAACTCTGTGACTGCTCATAATGATGAGCTTGTTGCTCCTTTTCAGCGCGATCCAAAGGATAAGATATTCACGGACATGTTGAGTTATCATCTGAGTCGAGAGTATCGTGACAGGATAAATAATTTTTATTCTATTATGAATTCAAATATGCAGATAACAAATGCTTCCAACAATGTTCAATCTTCTATCATGGTACATATACATATGATCTTTCACTTAGTCTTATTTATTTTGATGATCTTTCGTATACATTTTATTTTACATCTTGTAGGAAAACAATAATATAGAAGAGGGGACAAATCTTAGCTTCGTTGATGGCAACAATCAATACCAACAAGCTTATTTTCCATGGGTTGATCACACATTAGATCAGGCAAGTTTAAGTTATATCTTATAGGATAATCAAAGTTCTTATATACTTGTATTTTATCATACATTACATTTTTTTAAAAAAAGAAATATGCAATTTTACAAATTTAAGCAAGTTCAAGCTGAGACAAATTAGTACTCCCTCCGTTTTCAAAAGAATGATCTCTTTCTTTCTTTTGGTAACAAATTTTCACGTAGGATGTTTAAGGCCACAAGATTAAAGCACAATTTTGTACATTTGACATAACTTTAAATTAGAACCACGTGATCAAAAATCTTTTTTATTTAACTCCATGTCAAGTCAAATTAGACCATTCTTTGTGAAATTGAGGGAGTATCATTTTTATTGTTATGTTATTTTTTATTACCGCCCCTTCAGTTAATGAGTGAAGATGTCTATATATTTTAACTCACATCTCCATAAAATCATGTAGCCATCATGGATAGAAAGGGATAATACTTTTTAGATGAATCATTTTCACACTAGTCTAGTGGATCCATTAGGCAGTTCAGGTCTTACACCTTAATTTGGCCGGTAATAGAATGCGATGGCAGCGTGAGGCAGATTGATGTATCATTACTATATCTTTTAAGTGATGGTTGCCGGTTAGAGAAACTCACACAAAAGTTAAAATGTATTTATATATATACATCAGTTTAGTTGTATTTTTACATACATCTCAGAGTTAATTGTATCCTTGTATACATTTAGAGTTTACAACATGTTTTCAAACAACTTTTATGTATATTGCACTTGTTCTTAAAATTCTCTATATTGAAATGAGTTAGTTATATTGAGTTATGTTATTCATGAGTTGAGAAGAGCCAACGTAAATGTTCCTTCTTACTTACTTCAAGCTTAAGTTGTTTTAGCTTTCCAACTCACATACTCGTATTTTCAGTATGCTGATGTCAGTTGGCCTACATCGTATCATGATGCAGACGCAGGTAACGAGGATCGATACCCAGCGCACTGGTGATCAAGTTGAGCACTCCAGAGTCAATTGGTGAGCCTCCTTGCATTTCGGGGGCTCCTTTTATTGCTTTCAGTATGTTCTTTATTAGGATGTTGTGGGGTCTGTCCCAACATCCATCTCAGTTTTAGAGGCTTCATAGATAGACAATTAGATTTTAATCCTTTAGTCTTTTCATTTTCTTTCTATTTGTTAAGACTTGGATTGCCATTTTTGGCCAGTTGAATGTTTAATCTTTAAAACATTATCAGTTTTATCAATTAGTTGAGTTATTGATCATTACATAACTATGTATATTATCTTCTGTTGAGTTAAGTAAGTCAGGCTAAGGGTCCACTAAAAAGTAATGGTCTTTGAATGTTGACCACACCCAAGATATAGGCTCGGAGCGTGACATTATGTTTTCTTATTTTTTGTGTAGCAAAATATTTACGATGATATCACTTTAAAAGAAAAATCGTTCGAGTTTCAAAATGTTTACCGTGGTGTCACTTGAGGTAATTTTTCATATAACTATATTTAATATATGTACTCTAAAATATAACATGTAGAGTTAGACGAATTTTTAAAAAAATTGTACACATACTTTCATTTTTCTTTGCATTATATGTTTCTTTTTATTCACTTTTCCTCACATAGTTAAATAGTCGAGATGGTTATATATTTTAAAGAGAAGAATTTTCTATTAACTTGACATGTTAATTTTTAATTTAATTATTTCTTATATTTTTATAGAATACAAATTATTTTTATTTTAAAGGTTAATTCTTTGTTGTGTACAATAATTCAATAATAAAATATATAATTATATCATAACTTATGAAAACATAGTTAATAGAATTACAACCTAAAGAGCCTCTAGTGTTTCAACCCCTTTTAGGAAGCGTACTTCAAATCACTAGATCCCAAGAAAACAAACATCTAATTACATATTTTTGAAATTAAAAACTGACATCAAAGTGCTTTTTTAGTGTCTTTCAGGGGCGGATCTAACCCTATTAAGGGTGATCAGCTGAACACCCTTCGTCGAAAAATTATATCGGATATATAGCTAAAATATAATCTAATATCTGGATATATAATTAATTGAACACTCTTTGACATAACAAAGCCGGTTAGTTTAGTAGTTGGTGTAGTCATTTATCTCATGGAGGTTTGGGGTTTCATTTCGACTAGCTTTTTTAATACAAATCTCTTTTTAAACAAAAAAACACATAAATTTTTATGAACCTACTAAAAAATCTCTTTTTCAACAAGAAAAAAAAAACACAGAAACTTTTGTGCACCTACTCATCGCTAAAAAAAAATGTTTTGTGTGCTCACTATGCTAAAAAGTATATCGACTCTTTAAAGATTGAATACCCTTGATGAAATTTCTAACTCCGCCACTGTCTATCAACATGTATACCCTTTGACATATTTAACTCAGGCTGTACACTTGTTGAAATATTTTGCCATATGTAGCAAATCATCGCCCTAAAACTGATGCTACTATCTCTTTTTGGAACTATTTTTATCTTCAATGTGCAGGAAGAACATTACGGAGATATTGATTAATGCAAAAGAAAAATCACCTCATCCTGATATATAATTTCCCCCAAAATTCAGAATCAGAGGTAATTTTTCATATATTTATATTAATATTTGATCATAGAAAATGTATTTTGAAAGTTTCTGCTTACACATTTCTTTTTAATTTATTTTAGCAAGGAAAGCTTAACAATTTTTGTCAATCAACTCTTTTGTCGAGCTTGGATTATGGTGGTCAGAAGACAAAGGGAATTTAAAATTAATATCCAATGGAGATTTATTTACTAGTATGCAATGGTAGACTTTTCCGTTACATAACAAAAAAAACAAGTTTGATTTTTATATTATGGATATGGTACTTCAATCAATTATTGAACTTTTTATATATGTAGCTTAGGTAGCGGTTACATTTGGTGCAAGCTATTTGCCGAAGGTAGTGATGAGTTGAAAAATGGTACTGGCCTTACATTTTGAGGAATGGATGATTTTATATTTTACTTTATTAATAGTTTGGCGTGATAGTTGATAGAAGAGGTCAATAACTCTTGGCCATAGAGGTGATAAAGGTTTTGTTAGCTTTGTCCCTTAGAGCAAGATCATTAGCACAAAAAATGGGGAGAATTTAGGACCTCGAGTTGAGATTTTTATATATGGGGGTCGAAAGACATATATCAACTTGATAATTAATATAGTTGAGAGCATTTCCATACATAGAATAAAAATATATGGGGATAGAGGATCCCCTTGGCGAATACCTTTGGTAGAGTCAAAGAAATCAGTTTTTGTACCATTGATTAAAAATAGCCATAGGGGGTGATGATATACAAGACATAATAAGTTTCAATATTTTTGGGGAAGCTTAAATAAACAAAAGCTGTGTAGATAAAAAGTCATTTGAGTTTATCGAATACTTTTTCAAGATCTAATTTGAGCATAAAGTTACCTATTTCGAAATTATAATTTTAAAATTGTTCATAATTTCTTTGATAACAATATTATTATCAACAGGCCGTCTTCCCTTTAAAAGACTAGATTGAAAGGGGGCAATTATTTGTTGGAGATTAGGTTTTAACCGAAATACGATGAAATAATTTTATAGATAGTATTGCAAAAACCTATAGGTCTAAAGTTATGGAGTTTATTAGAATTAGGGGTTTTAGGAATTAGACACAAATAGTTTTGTTTGATGGTGGAGGGAATATCAAGATTATTAAAACAATCATGAATAAACTTTGTAACCGAAGGGCCAATTATATCGCGTCAAACATATTTAACAAGAAGATCCCCTTGAGATACTTTGTCACTAACATAATGAAAGTCAACATCAATATGCTTGGAACGATCGTGGAACACTGAATTGCGATACATATATGTTGAATTGATATTGTCATAAAATACACGAATTGGTTGACGAAGATATATTCCAAGCTCACAAAGAAGATGACGAATCCAAGTAATTAGCAAATGTATAAGCAATTGCTCTGTATTCGACCTATGTAGATGACTTAGAAACAGTTAGTTGCTTCTTTGCACGCCAAGATATGAGATTTGATCTCAAGAACACCGCATAGCCCATCGTAGATCGGCGAGTATCAGGATAATCAACCCAATCAACACCGGAATAGGCCGTGACAATAAAATTGGACAATAAAATTGGATGAAGAGGCACGCAGAAATAAACCATGCGTCGGTGTACCATGCAAATATCTAAAAATACACTTGACACAGTGCAAGTGAGTAGTTCGTGGAGCATGCATAAACTGAGAAACAATATTAACTGCATAGGCAATATCAGGATATTAATCAATAGATGTAGAGTTTGTTTTACGTAGGGTGGTGAATTGTCGTTTCAAGTCAAGTGATTTTGCTTGACTAGCATACATGTAACGACGATTTAAAGATAGCCAAATATTATGAGACGGGGTAAAAGATGGACATCAACAAGAACCTCTCGTGATAAGGTAGCAAAACTCCATGATCTGACAATTTGATCTACTCGCAACCATGAGCGGTAGTTGGGATTAGGCTGCTGATTCCCAAAATAATCATAAATAAATGGACTTGGAGGTTTAATAGAGCCATCAACAAATCCAAGTAAATTATGAGAAATCAAAAGAGAGGTAAACTGAGCTAGAAAGAGGCTGAGTAGCCATGCCTGAAACGAAAACAAGGAAGAGACAAAAATAAATAAATAAATAGCGTGGGCTAGATTTGGGCTATACAAATAAATATATAGCTCATTAATATCAAGAGCCTGCATTACATATATTTATAACAAGGATATAGGAATCTGAGATATACTACAAGTCCTAGTTATACATCAATACACTAGACAATCCTAAGAGTCCTAATATGATAAGTATAAGAGTCCCAATAGAAGAAGCGCGTGTTATTATATTCCTCATTTAGCCAATTAATCTTTCAATAATCTTCTTCGATTTTCAGAATATTATTATACTCAATTCTAAGAGTATGATCAAAATTCTTAAGGATGGGGAAGTTTGGGGATTTTCGGATTCCTACTAGACGAGCTAAAATATTAAGACTTCTTTTTTCTAACATCACCAAATGAAAGTTTACTCCAAATCTGAAGAGTTTCTCGGAGTTTTTGATTGGCTTGCATGAGGTTTCTATTAGACCAACAATTATGAACTAGAGTATGGAATTCTTGATACGTGCACCAGAAAATTAATTAGAATTATGGAGATTTTGTACGATAAAGAGAGATTGTCTAACAGTAACAATATATAAAACTTTAACTCCTTTATCGAAATTAAGCGGTAAAATACTATTATTAGCTAGTTTGTTTCCTCCAAAATTCCCATCAATACTAACAAATATCTAAGAGGAATACTCGATGAGAACTAAAAATATTAACTTTTGACAAACTTATAAAATCAAAATTATTGTTTACATAAAGGACCATTTTCAACTTACCTATAACATAATAGACTAAAGTATTATTTCACTCATTGGTGTGGCAGTTAGAAAAGAAAAGAAAAAGTGGAGGACTGGAAAGAGTAATTTTCGCTAAAGTATAACAAAACCTGACTTTTCAAAGATATTTTTCCCTCGGCCTCCGCGTCTCCGCTTTGCTGTTGCAGTTAGGGTTTCTTCGAGACAAGGTAAAAACATTCAATCTTCTTCTTCTGATTGTTGATTTGATTTGCATTTTTCTTCAATTCACTATTCGAGAAATGAAATCATTAATACATCGAACGAAAATGTCAATTCATTTCTTTAAAATCTTATAACGGTAGAGTTGATTTGTTGCAACTTTTATTTTGTGACTTTTTGATTTCTTAGTTGCTTGAAACATTATATGTATAGATCCTATTCGGTTGTTGAATTGATGTTTTGCAACTTTTATTTTGTGGAGGTAGTGACTTTGCATGTGGTGTGCATTTTTTATATTAACTGCTAAATTTAGGTTTTTGTGTAAACAACTTATAATCTTGCTCATTCAAATTGGGTGTGTTTTGAACTCACCTATGTTCGTCTATTCTTTGAAGAGTTGAGATAATTTTTGCTAAACCAAATTAGGGATTGTTGTGCCATCTTCTTAAGAAGGCATACAAAGGGTGTGACCTAGTGGTTAATGAAGTTAGAATACAAATAGAAATTCTAGATAGAGACAGAAAGTAAGTGATTTCTTGTCATTTGACTAATTCTTGGTTGAAGAAGTTACAACGTACATGCCCTGGTGGGATTGTGGGATCGTGCAGGTATCCCGTGAAATACCAAGGTCTGTGCAAGGTGGACCAAATACTACTGTTATTAGAAAATGGAATTAAGAAGAAATTTTAGGATAATTCGTTTGACATATAAAACTTTTGAGATGGCGAGTTTCAGATATTTAGGAGAATACTAGGTGCCTATTAGATTTGGTACGAGTTATAGGTTTTTGACTTGGAATTGAGATCATTTTAAGATGACTTTATTCTAAGTTAGTAATTTTTATTGTAAAAAGGGTGCTTGCCTGGTGCCACAGGCAAAGGGTCAAATAATCCTCCCAGGAGATCGGAGTTTGATTCCAATTCGTGAATAATCTAAAGCCACTGATTTTTTACATTGTAAAAGGATCGATCGTATAACAGTTTATGTACAAACTGTTTTAGGTGTAGCTAACATGATCTAACTGATAACTTAATGAATGGAGCACATCTCCTTTCTAAAGGATGCTAAGTTGCTCAGACTCTCCAAAAATGTTGTTGCACCAATGTCAGATCCTCCAAAAATCACTGCGTTTGAAGGATCTGTCACGCACCTGACTGCATTTTCGAGGAGTCACATGAAGGATGCATGTTCACTTTAGGATTGCCTAAACGGAAGGGTGTAAGCTAACTCTGAACACAATCCATGGACAACTGTTAAATGCTCAACTTTTCTGCTGCAATAAATCACGTTAGTTATAGTTACCATTATCAAAAAAAAAATATATCACGTTAGTTATATAGTTAGATGAAACTGCTCTTTTCATATTATCTGTAGCCTTACACATCTACTTGTCTCCTTTCAGGTTTAGCAGTCCCCGACATCTTCTGTTCAGGAAGGATGAGGCCAATTTTCTGTGGTAACTTTGAGTTTGAAACCAGACAGCCTGAGCTGGAAAGGCTTTTCAAAAGATACGGGAAGGTTGATAGGGTGGATATGAAGTCTGGTAAGATTGTAACACATGTCAATTTTCTTTCATTGCCACTTGTCTTATTTCTAACCTTGTTCTGTAAATTTTCCTTTTTTGAATATGATGGACCCTGTTGGCGAGTTTAAGTTGTGGCGATAACTTGTTACGGACACTAACCCGTGGATTCATGGTGTACCATCTCTGATATAAACTTATATGTACTTTTGATTAATTGCTTGTCTTGTTAGGTGTTAACTACTTGTATGTGAGGCCTCCCCAATAAGGTCTTGTTATTTTCTTTTGTGTATCTTAGAAGTTGGAAATGTAATTCTTATTTCTTAGTACATGCTCATGTTACTGCCGGTGAGTTTCTTCCTGCAGTAGGTACCTGGGTTTGATTTCATCTACTAGGGTAGTTGTTTACATAAACGGATTCTTTCTTCTGTATAATCTTTATTCCTTGTGTCTTGTTAACTATGGGCAATAAGCACTATTGCATCAGATGGTCTGGCCAGGTGTTATTTTGCCAATTGTTCATCAATCCGAGTAAGACGGAGCCCACCACTATTGACTACCGGTAAAACTGGGCCAGATTATGTGAAGTCCCTGTCTTGCTATGCTCAGCATAGCAAGAAACGATAAAGCTGATGGTTGCAAAGCGATTGAGTGATGAAATATGAACAAGGTTATTGCATCCCTTGGCCCGCTCTGTGTTTTCAGTGCTCAAATGACCGCAAAGTGGTTTGATGTGGATGCTGCATTCCCATCTTTACATGGTGGCTTTGTTGGATGGAAGATCCAGTCAATTTTATTTGGCTCAACAGCAGAAATTTTGTTGAGTTTTGGTGGGGTAGTAGGATATGTTTACTGAAAAAGTATATTTCTTTAAGTGTAGACCCCCATACTCAACTGATTCTTTGGCGCAGGATAACATTGCAATGTCCATACCCATTGCTGATGGACGGTGTCTATTTCATGTCCTGACCGTGACAAGTTTCTCTTCTTGTTTCAACAAGAGCTCTCTGATCCATCATGGCATCACAATTACATATTATTCTCAGTCACTATTGCCCTCCATTCCTCGTGAATTTTGCCCCACCTTCATTTTCAGACTTGTCACAATTCCGACCTCGAAGCTGAGGCTGCAGTTTAAAATGGAGAAGGCACTCTTTAACATTATCCCATGATGTGACATCCACCTTTCCCTGGCATCTTTAGATCCACCATTGAAGGTCTGTTGCTGATTTTGATGGTGTCAAAGTTTGTCGATTTGACAAGAGTGATTGTAATGCAATGAAATGCTAGCTAGATGGTTTGCACATTTACTGGATAAAGTTATCTTTCTTTTTTTTTTTTTTGTTGAGCATTTATGATTAGTGGAATCCTTCTTTGGGGGGTTCTTGTTGTCACCAACTGAGTTTTTGTTTAATCTTCAGTTTATTTCTTGCATCAAACTTCAGGTTTTGCTTTTGTTTATATGGATGATGAAAGAGATGCAAAGGATGCTATTCAGGGGCTTGACCGAATAGAATTTGGCAGAAAGGGACGGAGGCTTCGTGTTGAGTGGTCTAAGGTAATCCATTTTTGTGCCTGCTCTCCGTTCTTCACATGTGTGTTAATGCTGTGTTTTGGTCGCTGTGCTGCAGGAAGAACGGAGCAGGAAGCCTGAGGGTTCTAAAAAATCTTCATCAAGCTTCAGAGTTTCCAAGACCTTGTTTGTCATAAATTTTGATCCATATAATACTAGGACAAGGGATCTGGAAAGGCACTTTGATCCATATGGAAAAATACTCAATATAAGGATCCGAAGAAATTTTGGATTTATTCAGTTTGAGACACAGGAGGATGCCACTAGAGCCCTGGATGCTACAAATATGAGGTATATGCCTTTTCAATTTTTGTTGTAATTGGGCATGTAGTTTCTAAATTTGCTCATTAGTTTGACCTGAGCCTTCACTTGACTGCTTATTACTTGGTTAAATGCAGTAAGCTGATGGACCGAGTTATCACTGTGGAGTATGCAATCAGAGATGATGATGATAGGAAAAATGGATATGGTCCTGGTAAAACCTATAATCAATCACCCAGAAGAGGTTATGACCGTGGTCGATCTCGTAGTCCACGTGGAAGAGATAGGCTGAGTCCAGACTATGGTCGTGGCCGAGATCGGCCTAGTCCAGACTATGGTCGTGGTCGAGATCGGCCAAGTCCAGACTATGGTCGTGGTCGAGATAGGCCTATTTCTGACTTCGATCGCGGTAGAGATCGGCCAAATTCTGACTTTGGTCGTGGTAGAGATCAGCTAAGTCCTGACTATGGTCGTGGCCCTAGTCGAAGTCCTAAGCACAGGGAAGGGAATTCTGAGTATGGCCGTGGCCATAGTCCAGCTGTAGGAAAGGAGAGAAATCCTGGTCATGGGAATGTTCGTAGCCCTAGCCCTCGTAGGGAAAGAACAGGTCCAGGAAATGGTCTTATGAGCAGTCCACTGAACATAAGTCCTGGTTATGGTGATGGACCCAGTCCTAGTGCTCAGAGGGAGAGGAGAGATAAATATAGCCCGGATGGTCATAATCGTGGCAGCAGCCCAGGTCCTAAACCTGAACCAGTAGGAAGTCCTGTACGTGATGGTAGGGGAAGTTCAGAGTGATGCAGGAGGTTTGCACCTCACTAGTTTACTTTCCTTTTGTCTGCCTTTCTTTTGGTATCTCTGTGCTCTGTTGCCTGTTCTCATTTTTGATGTCATTGATGCAGTCGTTCGCCTCCAGCTCGGGAAAGATCGCGCTCCTGATTTGCTTGAAGCTGTTTTTATACTTGGAAGTAATATCTGTAGGATGGTTATGTTGAAAGTGGTGCTGTAGAATTACACCTTGAAGTTGCTTGGAATATCAAAGTACGTAGCATGTGGGTTTTAGAACCAATGTAATATACCTTGGGAGATGGTTTTTGCTCTTGGAAGTGATTTAGAACTGGTACCGTGTATCTGTGTTGTTTACTTGATACACCCTTTTCCATTGGATACTGATCTGGATAAGACATGGGCCGTGGAAGTGATTTAGAACTGATAGCGTGTATCTGTGTGTTTACTTGATACACCCTTTTCCATTTGATACTGATCTGGTAAGACATGGGCCATATATAGTTTTTGCTGGTGGAAGTGATTTAGAACTGCTACCGTGTATCTGTGTTGTTTACCTGGTACACTCTTTTCCATTTGATACTGATCTGGTAAGACTTGGGGGCCATATCAATTCTTTCCTTGGCTTCAGCGACAAATTTTGTGTCAATGTGATGATCAATGTATTGTGCACTCAAGTATGTGGCCTAGTGGTCAATGAAGTAGTTGTTAGGTATCTGGTGTTGGTGGGAGATGTCAAAGTATCCGGTGGAATTAGTAAACTAATCTTTAATATTGATTAAGTATGAGTTAATATACTACAGGACAATTTTTAGAGTTTGCAATAGTGAGTTTTGTTATTGTATTGTAGGTAGATATATTATTATAACTCGTTCTAGTGGTTGTCAGTTACATGTAGAGGAGCCTACTTTGTTTATAACACTAGCAAAGTTAGTTAATTCAGACAAGAAAGAAAAAACAGTACCGAGTTGCTAACTATTTTTTACATAATTGCTAGTGTTACTTGTTGGATGTTTTTGGATGTTATATTTGTGGGTTTTAAATTACCCTACCTTTAGGGTAGTTGGAGAATAAGGAGGAGCGTGGTTTGTTGGAATATATGAAGCAAGGTTTGACTGTAACTCCATTATTAAGTAACTTGATATGAAAGAGTGATGATAAGATAAGAATGGCCCCCATCAAATAATTTTCATTTATGGTACTAATAATTCTCCTCTTGTTTTAAAGACAAGGACATTCCAGGAGCCATGTACTTTGCTTGCATATTAGCCATCACCAGGGCCACTTTGTACAACTAACTAACTAACTATATATATAAATATGGAGTTGTCTTCGCTATTAATCGATCGCACCTAATGAGATATATTTTGGCATCTCTTACTTATTACTCAAATTTGGGTGAAACTAAATCTTGTTCCTATTCCCATATTAGTTAAAAATAGTTGTGAATTCTCCGTCTTTACAAGTATATTGCAAGTCCCACTTGAATGGATCAACATCCAATTTTGACATTTAGACAGACATATCACGAGGTGACAATCAAAGTCTAGCTTAACAGTCTATATAATACTGTTCAGTACTAGAATGACTAGACCAGGAGCGTACGCACTAACGATTAATTAATTAAAAATCATTAGCAAATTATTTATCAATAATTAAGAATATTCTATTTGATCTTTATAATTCACATGCCCTTCAACTTCAATTACAAACTCAATGAACCACTAATTTAGGAATAAACAACACTAAAATAGTCACTTTCTATTATGATTCATTACCCTAAAAAAAGAAGGAAAAAATAAAACTAAAAAATAAGCAAATGTGGTAACATTAGCATCTCCAGTTAGATCTAATGTTTGTTTAAAGTCATACTATTTCAAAAATCAACCAAGCTCATGAAGTCCGGTTAATTAAGTCTCCAACTTTAACAGGAAAATTTTTCATGTCTTTTAAAAGTAAATATCAAGACTCAAGTCTTTCCACTACTCAACTAAACTTATACGCTTGACATAATTTCATTTTTTATACTATTGATTGCCCTAAAACGGAAGAAAGAAAAAAAACATAGTACTTGATAAACTAAAGAGAATAACAACTGTTTCCAGTAGATTCCAGGCTTTATGTATTCCAGCTGCAAATTAAAATTGATTTTTTAAAATTATGCCAAAGTATTTTTCCAATTCTACCAATCAACCGTTGGATGCGGCTAACAAAATTAAAACATTTCTCAAAAGAGACAAAAATTATGCATGCACGACCCATGCAAATACTTTTGACTAATAATAATTTATATATTTAGCAGCTCAGTCTTTGGTTTCAGACCCAAATATTTGTTTTATTCTATGCATATTACAAAAAACAATTGGCTCCATCTGCGGAAACGACAATTCAAAAGATTTTTTTCATAATCTAGTTTGGCGTTTATACATGTTTAAAACAAGAACAAGCTAAGTCAAAAAAATAAAAAAATTCTTAGTTGATTTTGGGAGTGTTTCCTAAGTTTGTTGTGTGTGTGAACAAGATAAAGCGACTTATAAATTTGATTACTGCTCTTTTTCTTGGTTCAAATTTATGTGAATTTATTTGACTAGACACATAATTTTTTGAAACTTTTCATTTTAAGTACATGTTGTAACATATGTGCGTGGGTACAAGACTTTTTGAATTTTGTATTATTAAACATGTCATACTATTTATTTGACCAAGTGAGAAGTTTGAAGCAAATCATTCGTGAATAATTTAGAAATTTGTGTTATGCTTTTTTTAAAAACCAAATTAACAAAGGAAATATGTTTGCTAAATTAAAATGAACTAAAAAGAATATATATAGTAATATATATTCGGAAGAGATCAATTAATACTTATTAATCGAGTATCCTTAAATTCTGTTGGCCTATGTTTTGATGAGATAAACTGTGGATTATATTTTAGTAGCAGAGTCATTGTTCGATTATATCTTTGAATTCAACAAGAATAGACATTGTTATAATTAAGTCCACGACTTAGTCATTTCCACAAGGAATATGAATACTTATAAATTTATAATATTGTTTTTTCTTCGTTTCAAATTAAGAGAAATTAAAGTGTGGTACAGTATTACATAAACCAAAATTTGATATGCGTGTTTTCTTGCACGTGATATTCATTTCTACTAAATTTGCGCACAAAATGCGTGTTTAAATTACGTGTTCGTAGTGTTAACACTTTGCTTCTTAATAGGTTAACAATTTATCACAGTTTTGTTATTAGCATTTTCAATATACAAATATCCTGATTCAGAATATAAATTTTTAAAGTATTTCAAATTTTAAGAATTTTTTTATTACTAACGAATTACATATGTATGTCCTTTAATCTGAACTCAACTACCCCTCCGTCCGTAATTGTTTAGCAGGTATGCTAAAAATAAATGTCTAAAATTAATTGTTAATTTAAACAATCAAGAGATAATTAGTTATTTTTTTTTTCAATTATGCCCTTAATAACTACTCCATTTTGTTCAATTGAAAAGTTATGTAACCTTTTGATATTCTTGGTATAGTAGAGTTATATTAGTCAAATTACACATTGTAAACGGAGAGAGTAGTATTTATGCCCTCTAACTTTAGGCATGCATAAGTAAACATTTAAATATGTATAATTTATAAAGTCGAATAAGTAGACACACACATCTTATGTAGCATAGTACATATAGGATGCAAATTGCCACGTGTGACACTAAGTAGGACGTGTGTGCATACTTGATTAACTCTATGCAAATTTAATTATCTAATTATACTCACCAAAAATTAAATGACATAAATGTACCAAATAAAAAAGTATGTTTATGTAATATACCTTTATTATGTGCCCAAAGAGGAATCAAAATCTTATCAAAGAGGCACAAAATTAAACAAGTACTAGATTCCCAAAATATATATATATATATATTTGATAAAAAATTTAACTGTTGATTTAGCGACGAGATGAGGTTAGAACTTAGAAAAGAAAATAGAGAGATTCTTTATTTCACAGCTTTGTCTTTTTGATGTGGCAATGTTATCACATTGAGTTGGAGAGATAAGCTTTATCTTTTTTCTAAAAAAAAAATCTAAATCATAATAAATCTCTTCTTTTTTATCAAAAAAAAATGCTACACTTGTCTTTGAGCAAGAGAATTCATAAATGACCTAAGTTATCCATTTCTTTTTTAATGGGAATATTAAGTTTGAGACCATAGTCAATGAGCTATCGAAAATTTTACACCTAAGTCAAGATAATTTTTGATTCACCTTTTCTTTAAAGTCCAAAACAATGCATGCTTACAAGTTAGTGGGGCGGTTGCCTTAGCATGTATGATAATTTTTGAAATATAATTATAGATATACTCTTTATTATTTGACTTGAATCATAGAATTTTGTTGAATTATGATGCACAATATAATTAATTAATTAATTAGGTCAGTTATGAACATAATATTGCAAGTCTTCATTTTCTAGAATTTGGTTGGGCTTTTAATGGATTCCGTTTTTCCCTTTTCTGTTTCTCCATCATTAGTATTACTCCTTTTGTTTCAGTCAAGTTAATGCGTCATATTTTTAATAAGAAAATATTATAAATAATTAAAATTATATACGCTGTTTAGTATTATTTCGTTTTATTTATACTAGGTGTTTCTTTCGTTGCTTGAACTCTTTTAAGAAATCTTTTCATTTCTAAAAGAGAAAAGGGTCTGATATACCCCTCAACTTTGTCATTTAGAGCTGATATACCCCTTGTTATGAAAGTGACTCATATATACTCCTATTTGTAAACAAACGACTCACATATACCCTTTTCCTCTAACGGAAATGAAAAAAAATAATTTTAATCTAAATTTTTATTTTTTTTTCTAAAAAATATAATCCAATATGAGTAAATTTAATCCTCGTCACATATTTTTTTGACTTTTTTTGTTTCAATGACTAATTTATAATTATTATTTTGATAATCAAATTTATTTTTGTTTCACTAATATTCTTGTAAAACTAATTGTAGATGATCAAATTTTTCTTCGAATACGAAATTAAATTACAATACACACAAAAAAAATAGTTTAATTTTTTATTCTTGAAATAAGGAATGAAAGAAAAAACAAAATAAGAATAAGAAATTCAAATAATTATAATAAAAGAAGTCAAAAAATAATTTATGTATGAAAAAAATTAAAATATACCTTGAAAGAATCATATATACCCCTAAATAATTTTTTTAAAAAAAAATTAAAAGTAATAAATATAAATTTAAAACTAATTTTTTAAAATCCGTTAAATGAAGGATATATGTGAGCCATTTTGTAACGGCAGGGGTATATGTGAGCCATTTGTATAACGGTAAGGGCATATACGAGCCACTTTTATAACGAGGGGTATATCAGCTCCAAATGACAAAGTTGAGAGGTATATCAGACCCTTTTCCCTTTCTAAAATTGTAACTATTTATTCGATTTCAATTTGTCGATGAGGAGAATAGTGTTTTTATTAAATTATATTTATATTCAGTAACATATATTAAATTAGTGTAATTTTTTTAAATTATTTACTTACAGAAATAGGGATAAGAAAAATTTCAAAAATCAAAAATATCTTTCAATACGGTAAACATCGTTTATTCTAAAACAACATATAAAACTAATATTGCTGAATATAATAAATATGACACATATATTGAATCAACAATATCTAATAACTTTGACCGACGGTAAGGAAATAAATTGCGGCTTGCAATATCCTATTTTAAAAAATTGTATTTCGCAATAGATAAATATTATAGCTAAATAGTATAATTTGTTGATAACCTTAATTAATGATGCATTAGTGCAAAAAATTATATTAGCTACGGATAAA